CGCCCCAATCTGCAACAATTCTGCACTTCACTACTGTGGAGGCTTTTACTCCTTTCGTCATGGATGACACTCGATTAGTCACTGTGTCGTTTTGCTATCTCCCATTTCTGTTCAACTAATACCCACCACTTGAGTAGTAACTCACAACTCAGGACAATGATGCTCCGAATGTGTAACAAGTTAAAATTTGGGAAAATAGCAAGTGGGCCTGGCACTCGGCTGTTTAGTCATTTAACGGAATGTGGGAGAACCACGAAACTCATAGTTTGAGCATGACTGCTTAAAGTTCAGGTCATATTCCAGATTCCCACCTCTGACAAAAAGAGAAGAGGTTCACTCCGATGCTAATTTCAACAATACTCTTTTATATCTGTGTGCCTCTCCTCTTCCTCCAGATTTTCTATCAAATATCTAGGCCTCACTGCTCATGGAAGCAGTAGTCAATAAATCAAACGATGTATTACACTGGGCAAACCTGCGGGAAAAGATTTCTTTCAAGTGATAAGGAGCAAGAATGTCACTAAGACATGCAGAACCCAAACCATGGTTATTTTCAATTGCCTCATATGCATGTGACAGATGGACACAGAATAAGGTAGACCACAGAAGAACTGACGCACCAAATTATGATACTGGCAAAGACTACTGAATGTACTCTGGACTTCAAGGGGGAAAATCCTGAAGAAGTACAGCCAGAATGCTCCGCAGAAGAGAGGATAGCAAGAAACAGCAAACTTTGGTCATGCTTCCAGGTGAGACCAGTCCCTAGCAAAGGACACTGCGCTTGCTACAACAGAGGGAAACGCAGAAGAGGCTCTCAGCAAGATGACACAGTGACAGCAACACGGAGCTCGAGCATACAATTGTGAGGGTGGCGCAGGACAGGCAGGCAGCATCTTTCTGCTGTACCGAAGGGTGCTATGAGTTGAATGGCCCTGACCCAACGGCACCGAACAACCACTGCTAGGCCTACACGGAACCCTGACTGAGCACATGGCTGCAGTCACTACAGGGGAGAAAGATATGGCTGTCTGCATCCTTCAAGTGCAGTTCCCCTCGGTCCTAAAGGCCGCAATGAATCCACAACGATGCAACGGTGGCGGGTTTGGTTTGGTTTCTGGGTTAGGTAGCCCCAAGCTCTTTCATGCTGCCCCTATCCAGTCTATCCTCTTCAAAAGCTCTTCTTATCCAGTCATAACCTGCATTTTCTAGCTATGCATCTTTTCTAATGCCAACTACTCTCTTGATTTCTCCTAGAACCCTTGCACTTGTAAAATAGCTGTGTGTCTAAAAAGCAAATCTAACAATAGGCGCAATTCTGCCTTGTCACATAGGGTGGCTATAAGTCAGAATTGACTAGACGGTGAAGTGTCCATTTTTGTTTTACTTTGTTTTGTTTTTCACAAGCTGGGTAAAGGAACCCTGATGGTATAGTGGGTTACATGGGCTGGTGACCTGGGAGGAAAAATAAATTCTTCCCTAAGAAAAACAAACACCCAGATTTATTTCAAAGGAAATTCAGAGAGCGATGGTGACATCAACGGTTCTTGGAGCGCTGTCGCTGAGTCAGAGGGCTGAGCTAGCTACGCTACTGCTGGAGGCTGGCCTGCTACACCACTACGGTTCTTGACACCGAGGGCAGCCAGACCACGAGCATTCTTCCTTCTACTTACAATGTGTAATTTTATGATCCTGACAGTGTTTTCAAACGCACTCATGAGCCTATCTCATAACTTCTTCTCCCTCCATTAACCTAAAATGGATACCGAGTGGGATTGTGCTAAGACTGAGCACTCCTCAGTCTTGCTCCCTTTTCTCTTTTCTGTGCCCAACCACTCTTCCCTTTCCTTAAGAGACCAATCACTTGGCGGCAAATGACGTGAATCCGTGCTCATAAATCGAACCATTACCGTCTTTTCATCAACTGGAGATGCAAGAATCAAGCTGCGGCTTCAGATTTCAACTAATCCAAAAAAAAAACTCTTAAGGACACCAAATGTGTGAGAACAATGGAGTATAATTCTAGAACTTGCCTTTTACCACTATAAATTCGGATACTCGAGCCCCAACACAGATCCTTGGTTCATAGCAGGGATCCAAACAACCAAATTGCACAATTGAGTACTTTAAATACAGGACGAAAGATACGACAGCATAAACTGTGCTTTGTCTGTATCTGTTTACTCGTGTTTAACACCTCATAGAACACTCTTCAATATGCCAGGACATTTTTCAGGAAAATGGTGCTGCCTTGGTAACCCAGATTGTCAAAGGGCTTTTGAAAGCCTAGAATAAAACTTTTATAGTCTTTGTAACAATCGTACAGACTCCTCAGTTGGAGTCTGGTAAATCTCCACTCTATAGCACCGAGTTACACAGTGTTGGTGCGTGCCATCGAGTTGATTTCAACCTAATCGCGACACCCTGTGACAGAGCCGACCTGCCTCAAAGGGTTTCCTAGGCTGGACTCTGGGAGCAAACGATAGCAGGTCTTTTCTTCAGGGCAGGAGCTGTTGGGTTTGAACCACCAACCTTACTGTTAGCAAATGAAAGGCTTAAGCATTGTGCCAGCAGGGCACTTTAGAGACAATGTTTAATTGAGCTGCTCACCACAACATTCGTGGTTCAAACCTCCAGTTGCTCTATGAGAAAAAAATGAGCCCGTCTGCCCCTGTAAAGACTTACAATCGCAGAAAAATGCAAAAGTATAGTTCAACTCTCGACAAGGTGTACCTATGAACCAGAACCACTCGATGGTTTTAAAGGCTGACCCCACAATTGTAATGATAGGCTCAACTCCTGAAAATGTGACAGAAGAACACAACAGAAAACTTACACTCGGGCTAGAACCATAAGGGAATTGAAGGGGAAGCTAAGCAAGGCTCACACTTCAGTACGAGAAATCAAGTGACTCCGTTCCTGAAACCCCAAGGACTAAAGCATGTAAACCATTGTTAAGACAAGGCCACCTCCTGAAACAAAACACACACACACACACACACACACACACACACACACACGGACACAGCTAAAACCATGCTGGAAACGGGAGAAAAGCCTCAAAAATGTGGGTTAAACTCGCGTTTTAAATTAGTTCCACCCTTCCTACAAAATTATATAGAGATGAATCATATTGCATTTTAGGCAACTAGAGTGTCCTTAATGCCCCCAAATTCTAGGTTTACTTTTCTTCAAGAGACATTACTATTAGTTGCTGGGTAAATAATGGAACCTGGACTTTCACTTTTTAGTTCTTTGATGCATTTGGTAAGGTACACTATCAGAATGGCAACGCCTCCTGACTGTTCCCTGGTGGCTCTGCTATGGGAGGCCCACCCACGCCATCCCACCCGCCCCTCCTTTACTTCTAGACAGGCAAATGACAGCCCTGCCCCTCCCCATTCAACACTCCTCCAGGGCAATTCCATCAACTCCCTGCGCCTCTGTGGTTGGGCTTCCTTCCAGGATACTGTACTTAATAAGAAAGAGTAAATCTTGAATTTTCTTCTTAGAGAATTTTACAAATAAGAGGAATCTTGTTTTGATTAGCGTATGTATGTAAATATTTCTTCTGAATTATCTACCTTACCTACTGTATATACTTGTGTATAAGCTGAGTTTTTCAGCACATTTTCAATGCAGTTTTCGTGGTAAAATTAGGTGTCTTGCTGATATTTGAGTCAGCTTATACTCGAGTATATACAGTATATCTTTTTTTATAAATAAAATCTTAGAAGCCTCTCTCTCCCTTATCCCGCAATATTATAATAACTAGGGAACTATTATTTAAATGTCATATAAAAGTCAATGAGAAAGCAGCTATTCTTACAAATAAAGCATTTATGATATATTCAAATTCAATTAATCCTGAGGTTCTGGAAGAAAGTGTCTCATAGCAACACTTGATCCAACTGTCAGAATGATGGAACAGATTTGAAGCCATAGGCCTATAACTCACTACCAGTGAATCAATTTCAACTCACAGCTACTCTACGTAATATATTAAAATGAGAATCAATAGTAAATATACATTCTGGGGAAGGCAAATGTTTTCTAA